ATAGAGCCTGCACTTTTATGCCTTGCGTCTTTTGCTCAAAATTGCATTTGATACATCTATGTTGCTATGTGTAGTTGTAGTTAATCCATTCTCACACCTGTAATATTCCATTACACTGTTGATGAACATTTGGGTTATCTCCAATTTTGTTTATTACACTTTTTAAATTTTTCGAGACAGGATCTCACTCTGTTACCCAGGTTGGAATGCAGTGGCACCATCTCAGCTCACTGCAACCTCTGCCTCCTGGGGTCAAGCGATTCTCTGCCTCAGTCTCCCAAGTAGCTGGAATTATAGGCGTGTGCCACCACACCTGGCAAATTTTTTTTGTGTGTTTTTAGTAGAGACGGAGTTTCACCATGTTGGCTAGGCTGGTCTCGAACTCCTGACCTTGTGATCTGCCCACCTCAGCCTCCCAAAGTTCTGGGATTACAGGCATGAACCACCGCGCCCAGCCAGTATTAGGCCCTTTTATGGATGTATTGTGGTATCTCGTGTGGTTTTGACTTCAATTTCTCCACTAATGAAGATAACATCTCTTCATATATGTATTGGTGAAGTTATCACTTTTTATTTACATAGCCACACACGAATATATCCTTGTTACATATAATACATGAATAGAAATCATACATATAAAGGTAAAGTCCCTCTAAAACGAATCCCTTCACTAGTTTTATTTTCAATTGAAAAAAAATTTGTAGAAATGGGGTCTTGCTATGTTGCCCAGGCTGGTCTTGAACTCCTGGCCTCAAGCAATCCTGCCACCTTGGCCTCCTACAGTGCTGGGATTACAGGTGTGAGCCACTATCTCCATCCCCTTCCCAAGTTTTGAGCACTGGGCTTGGAGTTAAGAGACCTGAATTCCAGCCTTCGTCTGCCACTGACTAGCTTGCTCTCTAATTTCAGACAAGTCTCCTCTCTGGGTCTGCCTCCCCGTCTATAAAATCAGGGTGTTTAACTAGATATCATTATTTTGGCTTTTGTTATATCCACTGAACTGGAATCCCGATTAATACAGAGTGACTGAAGAATACTTTTTTTTTTTTTTTTTTTTGAGACAGTCTGTCTCTGTTCCCCAGGATGGAGAGTGCAGTGGCACAATCTTGGCTCACTGCAACCTCTGCCTCCCAGGTTCAAGAGATTCTCCTGCCTCAGCCTCCCAACTAGATAGTTTCTAAGGACCTTTTTTCTTTAACATCCTGGCCACTGTTTCTGTGATCCCAAGAACCTCCATTAGGTAGAAATGGCCATTTGCCCCATTATCCATTCACTTCATCTTCCTTAGTGACTGAACTCCTGAATTTTAGTTGAGCATATGGCTGTCCCACTAGACTATCTCCAGCCTCCCTTATAACTGGGCATGACCATGTGACTAATTTGAGACAAGAGTGTGTACACAGAAATGTGTGCAACTTTTGGGTCATGACATCATAAAGAAGGGCCATGTTGTCCACTTGCTCTTCTCCTCTTCCTGCTGGCTGAAGAGGACCTGATGATGGGAACTGGCCCAGCCATTGTTTTGTTTTGTTTTGTTTTTTGAGATAGGGTCTCACTCTGTTGCCCATGCTGGAGTGCAGGGGTGCAATCACAACTCACTGCAACCTTGGCCTCCTGGGCTCCCTCCTGCCTCAGCCTCCTGAGTAGCTGGGACTACAGGAATGCACCACCACGCCCAGCTAATTTTTGTATTTTTTGTAAAGACAGTTTCCCCATGTTGCCTAGGCTAGTCTCAAACTCCTGGACTAGAGTGATTCACCCGTCTCACACTTAATCCCAACACTTTGGGATTACAGGTGTGAGCCACTGTGCCCAGCACCAGCCATCTCTGTTCATGAGATGGAGGCCAAGATGCGCTGACGATGACAGAACAAGGCAAAAGCTGAGACCGCTCACAACATACTGCTGACATATCAGCCCTGGATTGCTTAGAGAGAAGTACCTTTTCATCTCAAGCTATCATTATTTTGGCTTTTGCTATGTCCACTGAACCAGAATCCTGATTAATACAGACTGACTAGAGACTTTTTATGTTTTGTTTTTTGACAGAGTCTGACTCTGTCGCCCAGTGCAGTGGTGTGATCTCAGCTCACTGAAACCTACATCTCCCGGGTTCAAGTGATTCTCCTGCCTCAGCCTCCCAAGTAGCTGGGACTACAGGTGTCTGCCACCATGCCTGGCTAATTTTTTGTAATTTTAGTAGAAATGGGTTTCTACCATGTTGGCCAGGCTGGTCTTAAACTCCTGACCTCAAGTGATCCACCCACTTTGGCCTCCCAAAGTGCTGGGATTACAGGTGTGAGCCACTGCACCTGGCTCCAAGAATGACTTTAGATTGGATACTGGGTCAGTTTTCTCAGAGGAAGGGACACTTTGAGCTGAGATCTTAACAAGAGAGACACCCATATAGATTTAGGGGAAAAGCATTCCAGGCCAAGGAGACCACTCGTGCAAAAGCTCAGTCCTCAACAGCATTCTGTGTAGTGAGGCCTACCTGGTCAGTCATGGCACCCCCATCTCCCATCCCACTGTTTACAGTGACTGAGCCAAGAGTGGACCATGTGACCTGAAGAGGAGATTTGGTATGTAAGTGATGGGACAGAAAGGATCTTCCTCTGGGATTACAAATCTTAAAGACTATTTAAGCCTAGAGTTATTGAGGATCGTGTTGCTGGCAAGTGGTGGGCAAAAACCCACCTGAGTGTCAAGCTAACCTGGGACAAACACAGACGAGAGCTAGAAAGTGACAGAGTCCTCCATGAGACCCTTTGACCCTGGGTCCAACCACACCTGTCCTTATCACAAGCCAGTTATGAAAACCAATCATGGCCGGGTATGGTGGCTCTTGCCTGTAATCTCAGCATTTTTAGAGGCTAAGGTGGTAGATCACGAGGTCAGGAGTTCAAGACCAGCCTGGCCACGATGGTGAAACGCTGTCTCTACTAAAAATACAAAAATTAGCTGGGTGTGGTGGTGGGCACCTGTAATCCCAGCTACTCGGGAGGCTGAGGCAGAGAACTGCTTGAACCTGGGAGGCAGAGGTTGCAGTGAGCCAAGATCATGCCATTGCACTCAGCCTAGGCGACAGAGCAAGACTCTGACTCAAAAACAAAAACAAAAAAGAAAGCCAGTCATGTCCTTCTTTGCTTTCTTTTTTTTTTTTGAGACGGAGTTTCACTCATGTTACCCAGGCTGGAGTGCAATGGCGCGATCTCGGCTCACCGCAACCTCCGCCTCCTGGGTTCAGGCAATTCTCCTGCCTCAGCCTCCTGAGTAGCTGGGATTACAGGCACCCACCACCATGCCCAGCTAATTTTTTGTATTTTTAGTAGAGACGGGGTTTTACCATGTTGACCAGGATGGTCTCCATCTCTTGACCTCGTGATCCACCCGCCTCGGCCTCCCAAAGTGCTGGGATTACAGGTGTGAGCCACTGCACTCGGCCCCTTCTTTGCGTTCAAACTGGATCTCCATCACCTGCAACCAAGAAGTTGCCTGGTCTCCTTGGTCTCCCCCTATTAGTGGAGGTAACTACAGATGGTCCCCGAACTATGATCATTCAACTCACGATTTTTGACCTTACATTTATAACTTTATTACCATTTTTGTGTTGGTAGTTTTGCCCAATGTAGGCTAATGTAAGTGTTCTTAACATGTTTAAGGAATGCTAGATTAAGCTATGATGTTTGGTAGGTTAGGTATATTAAATGCATTTTTGACTTATGATCATATTTTCAACTTATGGTGGGTTTATCACGATGTAAACCCATCACATAAGTGGAGGGGTATCTGTATAACATTGTTAGACCTATAAATTTGCTGCTGATTATTGGCAGGTGGTATGGTACAGTGGTTAGGGGCAGAGGCCTTAGAGTTGGACTATGGGTTCAAATCCCAGCTTGGCTGTATCCCGTGTGGTTCTAACCCAGTTCTGCCACAAACTTGTTAAGTGGCCTTGAGCGAGTCACATAAGCTCTCTAGATGTAGCTTCCTCATTGCAAAATGTCTCAAGCTAAGTATTCTCCTTCCACCCTGACTCTGCTTCTGTTCCTCCATCCAGCCTTCCCCGCCTCAGTAAATGACGCATTAGCCACGCAGAAGTTCAAGCCAGACTCATCCCTGAGATCTAATCTACCTTCTAAACACATCCACATCCGTTCCACTTTCTCCATCCCCACTGTCACCCCTCCAGTTCATGCGGTCAAGACTTTTCATCTGCACTTCGCCATAACGATGTTAAAATACTTCTACAAACTGCAAATTTGATTGAGTCATTCTGAAAAGGCGAATGTGGCCCTTGACCCCTGCATGGTTTGGTCCTGGTCTGTCTCTCTCATTTCGGGCCATGCTCTCAGTGCTCCAGACAGCCCAGCCTTGCGTTCCTCCAGCTAGGCGCCCGAGGGACTTTGCACAACTCTTCCCTCTCCCTGGAATGTTCTTCCCCAATTACGTCTTAGCTTGATGGCTCACCCTTCAAGTCTAGGCTCAAATGTCAGCCCTTCAGGGAAGTATTTTCTGATCCTTCAAAGCAGGTCAGAGCCTGGTGTCCTCCTTCACAGCACCTATCACCACATCACTGGTGCATATCTGCCTCCTTCCCAACCACTGTTTCTTTCTTTCTTTCTTTCTTTTTTTTTTTTTTGAAATGGAGTCTCACTCTGTTGCCCAGGCTGGAGTGCAATGGCATGATCTCAGCTGAATGCAATTTCCACCTCTCAGGTTCAAGCAATTCTCCTGTCTCAGCCTCCTGAGTAGCTGGGACTATAGGCACCCGCCACCACACCCAGCTAACTTTTGTATTTTCAGTAGAGATGGGGTTTCACCATATTGGCCATGCTGGTCTCAAACTCTTGACCTTGTGATCTGCCCGCCTCCACCTCCCAAAGTGCTGGGATTACAGGCATGAGCCACCGCGCCTGGCCCCAACCACGGTTTCAAGAGAGGCCCCTTCTCTGCTGTTCTCTGTCTCAGACCCCTTCTTTCCTTCAAAGCACTTATCACAATGTGTAACTGCTTTATTTCTTTGTTTTCTTCTTAGCTGTCTCCCCTATTTTCTTTGTATAATTTCCCTGAAGAGACAAGCTGAGGTCTGTCCTGCTGTATTCCCAGGACCCAGCCCTGAACCTAGGAGCAGAGCAGAGTCTCAAAAAGTATCTCTTGAATAAAAAGTGTTTCTGGTGGTAGCATCTCCAGCAGTCAGGAACTCCCTCTTTGCCTCTAAGTTTTGATCCTCAGGCAATATTTCTGCTGCTAATGAGGCATTCTTCTCTGGGTTTATGGTTCAGGGCAGAACAGGAGACCTCAGGCAGCCTGGCAACCTCTGGCCTGTGTGGGAAATGCCTTCCAGTGGAATCGCAGCACATTTCCACTCTAACCCAGGGATATCGATCTAGGTCTCAGTCCCACACCCTGCTCTGCTGCCAGAAGCTTTCCAAGGCTTCTCAGTCCCCCAGATGCCACTGTCCTCCTCTTCCCCTAATGCTCCAAGACCCTCTCCCAGCCAGGCCCCACCAAGCCTGTGCCCCAACTCCAGGTTGCTTTCAAGCTGAAGCCACACCAGAGGAAAGAGCTGAGAGTGAGCTGAGGTCAGCTCAGGGCTGATCCAGGGGAGGGGCAGGGAAGCTTGGGAAAGCCCATAGGATGCAGCTGCGAGTTGTAAGAGTTAGCATGCCGGCAAAACCACCCAGGGCTGCTGGGCCCACCAGCATGTAAGCAGGAAGAGGGCACGAGGGCACAGTTCTAAAAGCAGCATTTACTTTGGTTTTCACTTCTCTGCGGCCCTGGGAACTTTTTAAAGTTCTGGTTCTCAGGTCTGGCACTCTCCCCATCATTCCTCCTTCAGCCACTGCAGCAGCTGGGGTGTGTAGTAGGTGATGATGATGTCAGCACCTGTGTTGGGAGAGATGCAGAAAGTTGGGGGTGGTGGGGGTGGTGATCAGCTCTGAGCACATCTTCTGTGATGGGAGGGCCAGGTGGGGAACAGGGCTACCATGAAAAGGCACAGCCTGTGGGCACACCACATTAAGATGGAGCCTGGTAGCTGGGCACGGTGGCTCACGCCCGTAATCCCAGCACTTTGGGAGGCCGAGGCGGGTGGATCACAAGGTCAGGAGTTTGAGATTAGCCTGGCCAATATGGTGAAACCCTGTCTCCACTAAAAATACAAAAAATTAGCCAGGTGTGGTGGTGGGTGCCTGTAATCCCAGCTACTCAGGAGGCTGAGGCAGGAGAATCACTTGAACTCAGGAGGCTGAGGTGGCAGTGAGCTGAGATCGTGCCACTGCATTCCAGCCTGGGTGACAGAGCAAGACTCCGTCTCAAAAAAAAGAAAGATGTAAAAGAAAGATGGAGCCTGGCTTTGGGTAGCTCTACTTCTTGGGCAAGTCATTTTTAATTTTGGAACCTCAGTTTGCTAAAGTATAAAATGCACCGTGAAGGAAATAGGTAAGATGCAAGTTCTCTTCCTGTGCTGGTGTGCAATCTAACAAAACAAGCCCCCTTTATGGAGTGGTATTACCTCATTGAATGCTCAGGACAACCGTGCACCAGGTATCTTATCCCCGGTTATCCAGTTATGGATGAGGACACTGAGGTTCAGGGAAGTGGCTCGCCCACATTCTCACAAACAAAAATTAACGGAGGGCTCTGCTTTCTTCACCGTGCCGTGTTGTATGCTGCAGCTCCATATCTCTTCCTCAATTTGTGTCTGTTTCGATCACTAGCAATTCCCAGCATGAGACTCCAAACTCTCAGGACTTCATTCCCCGATCTAGGCAGAGTGCTTACAGTCCCTGAGGCGCAGGTCGAAACACCCCGCCCCTGCCTGCTTACCTGCTCTGCGGAAGGCAGTCATGGCCTCCAGTACAGCGGCCTTGAGATCAAATGCCCCAGCCTGGGCTCCGTGCCACAGCATGGCAAACTCTCCAGAAACATGGTACACGGCGAGAGGGAGGTGGGGGTGCTGCAGAGAAGCAGAGGCAGACAGGCTGAAATGGAGGGCGGATGTGGCTCTGGGAGTGTCCCTTCCCCCCTGCTCAGTCTGTGACCATCTGAGCCCCGTGCCCTGGGTTACTGCGGCTGGCAGCCTGGCCCACTCTTGAACAGTTAGAGCAGGGCTGTCTGAGTCTCCTGCCAGCCCTGGCACACAAGGCCATGGTGGTTACTGGGCAGGGTTGGGGGAGTCCTGCTCAAGGGCAGACTGCTTCCAACTCCGAGATTCCAGAGTCTGTGGAAAACTCTGTCCCGTCCCCCTGATCTCCCTTTACCTCGGGCCTGTGCTCACCTTGTCCTTTACCTCCCGCACGATGTCCAGGTAGGGCATTCCTGGCTTCACCATGAGCACGTCAGCTCCTTCCCGTACATCCCGGTCCTAAGGGATGAGGGTATAGTATGGGCGGTGCCTGGAAGGGGGCTGAGGGTGGCGCTCAAGCCCTAGTCACTCACCACAGCTCGGAGGGCCAGGCCTCGTGCTCCAGGGGGCAGCTGGTAGCAGCGGCGGTCCCCAAAAGCTGGGCTTGACTGAGCTGCATCCCTGCAAAGCAGAGTCATCAAGGTGGGCTCCAGCTTTGGGCCATCGGGCCAGGGATTTAACAGCAGGCCTCTGCCCACCCCTACTCACCGGAAAGGGCCATAGAAACAGGAAGCAAACTTGGCACTGTAGCTCATCACTGATACCTATGGGGAGATAATGGGGGTCTTGGCTCAGTCAGTCCTTGCCAGGAGTCCCAGGGTGATGTGGCAGGGAGACAAAGGCCCTAGGCTGGGAAGGAGGGTGTCTGTCTGGTCCTGTTGGAGCACTGGGATTGATTTCCCCGTCAAGAGACCCAGAGGTTGACACGTTCCTCAAAGCCTCATTCAGCACTGTCTTCAGCTCTGTGATCCTTTTTTTCTTTCAAGACAGAGTCTTGCTCTGTCACCTAGGATGAACTGTAGTGGCGTGATCTCAGCTCACTGCAACCTCCACCTCCTGGGTTCAAGCGATTCTCCTGCCTCAGCCTCCCGAGTAGCTGGGATTACAGGCGCCTGCCACCACGCCCAGCTAATTTTTGTGTGTGTTTTTTTTTTTTTTTTTTTCAGACAGAGTTTCGCTCTTGTTACCCAGGCTGGAGTGCAATGGCGCAATCTCGGCTCACTGCAACCTCTGCCTCCTGGGTTCAGGCAGTTCTCCTCCCTCAGCCTCCTGAGTAGCCGGGATTACAGGCACGCGCCACCATGCCCAGCTAATTTTTTGTATTTTTAGTAGAGACGGGGTTTCACCTTGTTGACCAGGATGGTCTCGATCTCTTGACCTCATGATCCACCCGCCTCGGCCTCCCAAAGTGCTGGGATTACAGGTGTGAGCCACCGTGCCCGGCCAATTTTTGTGTTTTTAGTAGAGATGGCATTTCACCATGTTGGCCAGGCTGGTCTTGAACTCCTGACCTCCAGTGATCCACCTGCTCTAGCCTCCCAAAGTGCTGGGATTACAGGTGCAAGCCACCACGCCCAGCAGTTCTGTCATTCTTAGCACACATGGGGGCTGGGCTGGTGCAGACTCTCTCCTCCCGGCCCCACGCTGCGCCCTGCACTCCTGTCCTTACCCTGTTGCCGAATCCGTGTGCCAGTAGGGCCTCCTTGATGGCTTCCACTCGTCCATCCATCATGTCCGACGGGGCTACCACCTGACATCCTGCAGGGCAGAGGGGGGCCTTCAGAACTCTGGGACCTTCCCAGCCACTCTGCCACCTCCCTGACCCAAAGGTGCCCATTCCTGCTGGTGGTCCACTCACCTGCCTTGGCATATGACAGTGCCACCTCAGCCAGCCGCTGGCGGCTCTCCTCGGCCCGGAATGATCCATTTTCACTCAGGAGCCCTGCAGGACAGATGGCTGGGTTTTGGGGAGCACCTTGGACCCTGACCTGTCCCCACCCTGGTGAGAAGTGGGCAGTGGGAATGTGGGTGGCAGCGGGCTGGTTGGGAGGAAGGGAGCTCACCACAGTGACCATGGGAGGTATAGGGACACAGGCAGACGTCACAGGCCACCAGGAGGTTGGGGAAGGTCTTCCTCAAAAGACGGATCGCCTCGATAGCTGGGGACTCCTCGGAGTCAGCTGCGGAACCCCGCTCGTCCTAGGGGCAGGGGAGGGACAAACAGTGTGTCTGTTACATGTAGCTTCAGAAGGCAGGAGAGCAGCCATCACAGAGCACAGCCCTGACCCTCTCCTTCCTTTATTGTCACAGCCCCTGGGTAAGAAAGCTCATGTCCCTTCACCTGTGGCCCCAGGGCCAGCACAAGGTTGGAGTGAGGATGCAGTCAGTGTGGACCCTCAGCCCACCCTCACCCAACCTCCCTTCCTTTTTCTGGTATGTATGTATGTATGTATGTATGTATGTATTTGGAGACAGGGTCTTGCCCAGGCTGGAGTGCACTGGCACGATCTTGGCTCACTACAGCCTCGACTTTCTGAGCTCAAGCGATCCTCCCACCTCTCCACCTCCCGAGTAGCTGGGACTACAGGTGTGTACCACCACACCCGGCTAACTTTTGTATTTTTTTGTAGAGATGGGGTTTTGCCATGTTGCCCAGGCTGATCTCAAAATTCTGGGCTCAAGTGATCCACCCGCCTTGGCCTCCCAAAGTGCTGGAAATATGGGCGTGAGCACAATCTTCCTTCTTAACCCCTCCTTCGATTCTTCACCTTGGGAACTCTGCTGGGGACACCGAAGATCAGGACACAGCGTAGGCCCTCTTCCACCAAGGGCCTCATCATCTCTTCCAGCCGGTTCACACCATACCTGCGTGGGCACGGGTAGAGGGGCTGAAGGAAGGCAGGTCCCAGGCAAAGGTCCTCTGGACCCCCCACACTGTGCCTCTGTTTGGAGCCAAGCTACATATGGCACCAGGAGGGTGAGCCTCCAGGAGAGGAAGGGGCAGGGATGCACCCACTAAATAGGAAGGAAGACTGAGGCCCTGAGTAGCAGAGCTCTGCAATTCCGCAGTGGCAGGTTCCTCCGAGGCCCTCTTATTAAACTCCCATCTGCAGTTCAGCTCCCTTCTGCAACAGCCTCTGCCGCGACACCTCTGGTGATGGGTAGCTCATGACTTTATGGGGCTGCCTCTTCCACTGCGGAACAGCTCTGGCCCTGAGAAAACCCTTCCCTCTACTGAGCTGATGTCTGCCTGTTTGCATCTTCAACCTCCTGGGTCCGCTTCTGCCTCCCGGCACTTCCACCTGTGGAATCTCTCCCTCCACCACCCTCTTGCCCCTACCTCCACATCTCCTACCTGGCCACTCCTGGGAGGCTGGCGATAGGCTGTACGTCATCAGGAACATCCCTGCAAGAGTCGGGGGTGGGATATGGATTGGTGGCTGTGGGAAGGGCCAGTGGTGAGGGGATGCCTGAGAGGGATGGTTGGGAAGCAGGGAAGAAATATGGGTGTGGAGATGGTGGGAGGAGGGTGAGATCCAGTGTCTGGCTTCCCTGCCTGGCCAAGCCCAGGGCCTGAAATAATAATAGGAACAACAAGAGTAACAGTGACAACAGTAGCAGCTGGACTAAAAGAACAGCAGTTACAGGAAGGAATTAGTGGTTAACAACTTGGACTCTGAAGTCAGCAGGTCCTTGCTTCCTATCCCAGTCTACTGCCTGGGTGACTGTGGCCAAGTTCTATCATCTCTTTGAGTCTTAGGCCTTCACCTGTATGATGGGTGAATTCATTCACTCAACAAATATTTATTGAGTACTTCTATGTGCCAAGTACTGTTCTAGGCCCTGATGATACAACAGTGAACAAAACAGACAAACATCCCTACCGGCATGGAGCTGATGTCCTGGAGGATATCTACTGCTTCTTCATACAAACGCTCTCAGAATTGAATGACAAAATGTGTGTAGGTGCTTAGAATAGTACCTGGTATACAGCAAGTACTCAGTAAATGTCTGCATTATTATTGTTGTTATTATTATTTTAAGACAGAGTTTCACTCTTGTTGGTCAGGCTGGAGTACATTGTCTCGATCTCAGCTCACCGCAGCCTCCGCCTCCCGGGTTCAAGTGATTCTCCTGCCTCAGTCTCCCACGTAGCTGGGATTACAGGCATGCTCCATCACACCCGGCTAATTTTGTATTTTTAGTAGAGATGGGGTTTTCCATGTTGGTCAGGCTGGTCTTGAACTCCCGACCTCAGGTAATCCACCTGCCTTGGCCTCCCAAAGTGCTGGGATTACAGGCATGAGCCACCGCACCCGGCCGTTATTATTAACAATAACGACTGCCATCCCTTACAGGTACATAGCACTTTACAACCCACAGAGCACCTTCTCAGATTCTGTCCTATTGCAAGAGCTCAGGATGGCAGGCAAGGGTTATTCTTCTAATTTTCCAAATGGAATGACTGAGTTCTTTCAAAGCTTGTTTTGTTCCTAAGATTCCTGTCCTTAATCCAAGTTGGCTGCTTCCAATACCTTGAATTTCAAGCTGACCGCTCACTTTGCCACGCCCAGCAATACTGATGCCCGCTCCAGTCAACACTCCCTCCCCAACCCCAACCGGCAGAGCAGAGGCCTGGCCCATTCTTGGAGACTCACGTGACAAAGATGGGGTAGATGAGGTTGGAGGCATTGAGGGTGGCGGTGGCTGTCTGCCAGGACCGAAGCAGTGGGTGGAAGTAGCCACTGTGCAGAATGGACTGGGGCTGCATGGCGTGGGCCAGTGGGCACAGGGGCATCAGTTGGTTAGAACCAAGGGCTCCTGGGGTGTTGGCTGCAGGCTGTGTCTGTGGGGGGTGATGGGTGGCACATGAGACATGGTCCCTGTCCTCAGGAGATGGTCACATTTGGAAGACAGCTCTTCCAGATTCCTGCCTCCCCTCTGTCTAGCCCAATGCTACTCACAGCACGGTTCACCAATCCCTGCTGGCCAAGAAGGTAAGTAGAGAAATGAAAGTAAGTCTTCAGAAACTTTCATGGGCCAGGCGCAGTGGCCCACGCCTGTAATCCCAGCACTTTGGGAGGCTGAGGTGGCAGGATTGCTTGAGCCCAGGAGTTTGAGGCCAGCCTGGGCAACGTGGTAAGACCCTGTATCTACAAAAAGTTTAAAAATTAGCCAGTGTGGTGGTGCACACCTGTAGTCCAGCTACCCAGGAGGCTAAAGCAAAAGGATGGCTTGAGCCTGGGAGCTCAAGGCTGCAGTGAGCTATGACTGCACCACTACACTCTAGCCTGGGCAACAGAGGGAGACTTGTCTCTAAAAAGTAATAATTTTATTTTATTTCATTTTATCAAAGAATCAATAGATTGGAAATAAAAAGAAAAAAAAAGAAAAAACGAATCCTTTCCTATGCATAGTTTGAGAAACACTGATCTAGCCAACATTTAAACTTTGTTTATTCCATAAAAAATGCCCATGTTCATGGCAGAACTTTTAGAAAAGTACAGATAAGCAGAAAGAGAAAAATCCCCTGTGATTTTATCTTAGAGAAAAGTACTGTTGGCCGGGCATGGTGCTCATGCCCATAATCCCAGCACTTTGGGAGGCTAAGGTGGGCAGATCACTTCAGGTAAGGAATTAGAGACCAGTCTGGCCAACATGGTGAAAACACCATCTCTACTGAAAATACAGAAGAAAATTAGCTGGGCGTGGGGATGCACACCTGTAATCCCAACTACTGGGGAGGCTGAGGCAGAAGAATCGTTTGCACCCAGGAGGTGGAGGTTGCAGTGAGCCAAGACTGTGTCACTACTACACTCCAGCCTGGGCAGCAGAGCAAGACTTTGTCTCAGAAAAAAAAAAAAAAAAAAAAAAAAAAAAACAAGGAAAGGAAGAAAAAAAGAAAGAAAAAAGTACTGTTAACACCTTGGGACATGGACTTCCTGTTAGGTACAAGCATACCAAGAGGATAAAATAGTACCATTCATGTCAGATAGACAGACACACACACACATACCCTATAGAGTGCTACCAAATCTTCTTTTCTAGCCCAAGGAGTTTCCTGGGCTCCATACGAACAAGCTATACCTTCTGCTTTGCTCACCTTGTCCCTTTACCAGAAAGGCTGTGCTCTCCCCACACCCACATCTACAGGGCTCTCCTCTCTTCCACTGGGGCTTTCTTGCCCAGATTGCAATCTCTCTTACATAAGTGATTTGTGGACCTGTCTTATCTCGTGCCAGTAGACAGGGCTTCTGCAGGGCAAGGTCCAGAGTTGCTTCATTTTTGCCTCCCCCACAGTGCTCTGTCACCAACTGACCCTGGCACACAGTAAATCTTTAATTAGGTAAAATACAAAAATAGGCCTTAAACAGTAAATAAGTGGATACAAGACAGAAGGAAGCTGGGGCATTAACATTTGTTTCTTGAGCACCTACTGTGTGCCAGGCCATGCCTGGCACTTCCACAGGTGATTTCTCATCCAGTGGGCACTACAGTCCTGGGAGGCAGGGCTGACTGAGTGCATGGAGCCTGACCAAAAGTGAGCCATGGCTCCAATGGGAGTGAGGAGGTCAGAGAGGCTTATTAGAAGAAGACAGGGGCCCGGCAAGGTGGCTCATGCCTGTAATCCCAGCACTTTGGGAGGCCGAGGTGGGTGGATCACTTGAAGTCAGGAGTTTGAGACCAGCCTGGCCAACCTGGTGAAACCCTATCTGTACTAAAAATACAAAAAAAAAAAAAAAAAAAAATAGCTGGGTGTGGTGTTGCATGCCTGTAATCCCAGCTACTTGGGAGGCTAAGGCAGGAGAATCGCTTGAACCTGGGAGGCACAGGTTGCAGTGAGCTGAGATAGCACCATTGCACTCCAGCCTGGGCAACAAGATCAAAACTCCATCTCAAAAATAAATAGACATAAAAATAGGCTGAGTGTGGTGGCTCACACCTGTAATCCCAGCACTTAGGGAGGCCAAGGTGGGTGGATCACCTGAGGTCAGGAGTTTGAGACCTGCCTGACCAACATGGAGAAACTCCGTCTCTGCTAAAAATACAAAATTAGCTGGGCGTGGTGGCACATGTCTGTAATCCCAGCTACTCAGGAAGCTGAGGCAGGAGAATGTTGGAACCGGGGAGGCGGAGGTTGCTGTGAGCCAAGATCACGCCATTGCACTCCAGCTTGGGCAATAAGAGTGAGACTCCGTCTCTCTCACACACATACAAAGAAAAGAAATAAAAATAAAAATATAAAAATTAGCTGGGTGTGGTGGTGTATGCCTGTAATCAGAGTTCCTCTGGAGGCTGAGGCGGAAGAATCGCTTGAACCCAGGAGAGCTGCAGGTTGCAGTGAGCCGAGAGTACACCATTGCACTCCAGCCTGGGCGACAGTGTAAGATTCTGCCTCAAAAAAAAAAAAAAAAAAAAGGCCGGGCGCGGTGGCTCACGCCTATAATCCTAGCACTTTGGGAGGCCGAGGCGGGTGGATCACGAGGTCAAGAGATCGAGACCATCCTGGTCAACAAGGTGAAACCTCGTCTCTACTAAAATACAAAAAATTAGCTGGGCATGATGGTGCGTGCCTGTAGTCCCAGCGACTCGGGAGGCTGAGGCAGGAGAATTGCCTGAACCCAGGAGGCGGAGGTTGCAGTGAGCCGAGATCGTGCCATTGCACTCCAGTCTGGGCAACAACAGCGAAACTCCGTCTCAAAAAAAAAAAAAAAAAAAAAAAAGCAGGGGGTTGACCTTGGTTTTGCAGGATGAGTGGGTTCAGCCTGGCAGAGGAAAGGGAGCCAACATTTCCTTAGGAAGGGAAGAAAGGGGCAAAGGTGGGGAAGGAGGATGGCTGTGGGCTGTTGTGAAGAGCTGAGCAGGCAATCGAGGCACGTGTGCGTGGAGGGGACGGATGAGAGGGGGCCAGGCTGAGGCTGTGGGAAGACTGCTGAGCAGTGGGTGGGGGAGTGGCCGGGTTGACGCCTGGCTTTAGGAAGATCAGTCCTGCAGGCTGAGCAGAGCAGATGGGAAAGCAGAGGAGTGCAGAGGCTATGGAGGCTGGGGGCAGAGAAGGAAGGGGCGTTTGGAGGTAGCCAAGAGACAGTGTCTCAGGGCGGATGCTCTAGGCCTGCCTGCCTGACCTGGAGGGCGGCAGAGACAAGGACAGAGACAGGACAGGAAGAGGGTGGTGGGGAGCTCTGTTTTAGACATTTCCTTTTGGAGGTGCCTAGGAGAAATATCCCATAGCCAAGGAGATATTGGGTGGGGGAAAGGAGCCACAAAAATGGGGGCTGGCAGCCTGAGTCCAACTGCTCTTTGTATGAATGGGACCTCAAGGCCCAGAGAGGGGCAAGGACTTACCCAAAGCCACACAGTGAGTAAGAGGACTAACTCCCAGGTGAACTGGGAGATCCTTTAGTAGGCTGGAGTCAAGTCAGATATTGAAGCCAGGTCTAATCTCTCTGATTCTTGCTTCCCAGAAAACCACCTTTGTAACAGGCCTCTGGCTTCTGGAATTCAAAGCTGCATTTCCATGGACTTGACTCTTCCTCCTGCTTATCAGAAACAGTGGGGGAGGGCTGCCTAGGAGCCTGGCTGCTTTTCTCCCCATAGTCTCTTGGGCCCCTTTCACTGCCCCTAGCCATCTCAGGGGCCTGTTTTATCCAGTCTTCCTCCTTGCCAGCGTGGGGTTATCACAAGTCACAGTCGGGCCAGCCCTGCTGCCACACCCCTGGGTGGGCCAGCCTCATCACCTGACACAGGGACAGGCCAGACCTCCCCAGTCATGTCTCAACACCCAAACAGGCAAAATCATTCAGTAGATATCATGTCCTGGCTACCCATTTGGTACTTGATTTTGCTGTCATGTCTGCCAGGAGTTTTTCTTTTTTGGGGGGCAGTGGAGTTTTGCTCTTGTTGCCCAGGCCAGAGTGCAATGGTGCCGTCTCAGCTTACCGCAACCTCTGCCTCCTGGGTTCAGGCGATTCTCCTGCCTCAGTCTCCTGAGTAGCTGGATTACAGGCATGTACCACCATGCCCAGCTAATATTTTGTGTGTTTTTAGTAGAGACAGGGTTTTTCCATGTTGGTCAGGCTGGTCTCAAACTCCTGACTTCAACTGAGCAGCCCGTCTCGGCCTCCCAAAGTGCTGGGATTACGGGCGTGAGCTACTACACCTTGTTGAGAGAATATTTTTGAATATTGAGAGAATTACCAAAATGTAACCCAGCTGCCCAAGACCACATAGCTATTTAGTGACTGAGCTAGAATTTAAATTGGTTCTAGCCTTCAAATGCTGGGTTTTATATGCTGTATTCCATAATACAGGTAAACACCTGATTCAGTAGGCTTCTCTCTGCCCATACAGTTTCTGCTTTCGGTGCTGGAGAGACAGAAGGCACAAAAGAAAAACATACTGAGTGTATTCATTCTGGGCTGGGCACAGCACTAGGTACTTTATAGCAGCATTTCATTTCATTGCAAGAATTGTCCTAACTTTTGGTGATAAGGAAACAGAGGCTCTGAGCGCTTCAGTGACTTGCTTAATGCCATTAGGGTCTAGTCAGTTCAGCGCCAGACTTGCCAAGTTGCAGACAGGTCTAATCTCTCTGATTCACTTCCCATAAAACAACCTCCGTTTGCTGGCTTCAGGAATCCAAAGCTGCATTCCACTGGCCTCAACTCACCATTGCCTTTAGGGGGCTGAGGGAACAACTGCCTCCTGCTTAGCAGAAACACTGGGGCAGGCTGCCTAGGAGCCCGGGACCGGGGCAGGGTTAAAGGGAGCAGTCTCACTACAGCAGTTCCACTTGGATCTGTTTTTGAATTCTAAGATTCAGAGAGAGATTTGATTTGAGAAACGGGTGTCAGTGCTGAAAATATTAAAAACTTGAAAATTGCCAATCCTGTTCTATCCCTTACATTTTAATGTGGAAAATGGGGTACAGACAGGCGACAGGATTTGTTTGAGATCACACAGTGAGTGACATACAGAGCTAGAAACTGACCCTGGCAGCTCCTGGCTTCTAGCTCAGTGCCCTGATACCTACGCCATAGAGTCATTCCATTGTAGGAGGTGCTTAATAAGTGTCTGTGGAGTGGGAAAACACCCCCTGAATCGCATGTCTGGCAGAGCAAATCCAGGATGGGTTTTACTTTGCAAAAAGGCCCTTAGAGTTTGGGAGATATTCAGACTGGGAGGGTACTTCTCCCATATCAAGGGAGCTTGCAAACCACAACTTAAATCCCTATGACATCACCATACTGAAGACAGGGACAAGCTACAAGGAGGTCTGGCACCTCTGCCCACCCACATTGAACAGGTTAGCTTTGCTGGGACGCAGAGTATAGGGCAGAGCAGAAAGAACCATGTTTCAGGGTGAGACAGCCCCAGGTTTGGTCTATGCTCTGCTGTGTAATTTTGGGCAAAGTCATTGACCTTTCAGTGTTCATTTCATAATCTACAAAACAGGCACGATATCTCTAACTTGCAAGGGTGTGGGGAAGATTAGAGATAGGGATGAGGCAGGTGTCTGGCATCAAAGAGCTGCACAGTAAACATGTAGCTAATTGTATTACTATTAGGAGTAGGGCTGGGCTGGAAGGAGATGTCCTGGCATAGCTCTGTGCCTTCTGCACCTCACCCAGATGGGAATATGCGATCAAACCCTTGTGGGGTACAGGGTTTTCCAAGATTTCTGAAGTGGAGTCCCAGCCTTCCAGCAGGTTATGTGGTGGAGAAAAAAGAAAATCACCACCCGGCTGCCAGAGTAGAGGGGTGGACCAGGTGCTGTGAGAGGGACTGTGTCTCTGGAAGTCAAGGATGGTTTTATAGAACAGGGGACAGTGAAGGATAAGAAGTGTTTCAGATTTAATGTGAAAGTATCTCCTCCCATGGAAGGCAATATCCCCAAACTGGGAGTAACTGAAGTTGGGCCCTGAGCGCTGCCACCAGGAGGGGCTGAGAAAGAGCTTCATGCACCACTCCTGTCCCATGCTGTACTGTGTTGGAAGATTCCAGAGACTGTGGTCTTGGCACAAAGGGTTAGGACCTGCTGCCAGCCCTGGCAGGCTCTGCCACTGACCAGGGAGGAGGCAGTCAGGGGAGCCAGCAAGGTAGAAGGTGGCCAGAATTGAGAAATCCAAAGCCCACAAAGGCCCAGGAGAGTGGCTGTCAGTTCTGAAAAGGGACGGAGTGTTCATACAGCCAACCCACATTTCTTTAATATCTACTCTGGGCCTGCCAAAGTGCTAGACACGGGGATTAAAGAGAAGAATGAGACCCCAGCCTTGTCCTGGGGCTTTGAAGAGCCTGATCTCCTCTGGGGTTAGCCATCTGGACGTAGAAAGAGAAGCTGCCATTCCCAGAATCCTGTATCTTGGCTAAGAGGCTTCTTAAAGTTTGCTGGTTGTATCACTAAAACAAGAGTGAAACTGGGCTCAGAGAAGGGAAGACACAGGCCCAGGGTCACGCAGTGGGTCAGCGGCAGATCTGGGGCAAGGTATCCAGCAGCCCAGTCCTCAGTGCCCACAATGACACCTCCATACTTTAAGGACAGATATCAAATCTGCTTCCCAGCAAGTTGGTCTTGTGCAAAGCTCCGGGTGAACTGTGACTCTGGACCTTGCTGCTGTTGGTAGCAGGATGGTTAAGTGTGTGGGCTCTGGAGTCTGATAGATGTGGGTACAAACCCTAGTTCTATAGCTTGCTAGTTGTGTGACCTCAATTTCTTTATTTAGTAAATGGGGACTTGAACCGATCGAAATGGGTTGTTGTAAGAAATGAATGGGCCCGTGTTGTATGAAAGGAGTGAAGGTTAGAATGAACGGGCCAAGGCAAGCAAGGTTTAGTACAAAGCAGCTGTTAATTGTTTTCACCTCCCTGCCCCCCTAACCACCACCCGCACCTAGGGCTCTGCATCGATAGAATCTGCCCCGGCGGTATCCGAGAGGGTGAACTGCAGAGAAGAGGTGCGGAGCCCCGAACCCGGGTCCCCAACCCCAGCTGGAGCGGGACAATCAAGCCCAAACAAACGCTTCACGAAACTCTGTGCACGGCTGCACCGCCAGGGCTTCAGGCGCACTGCACAATCTGGTGACGCCGGACTCTTGATGCCACAGTTCCCGCCTCGCCTGGAGCCGCCCTCCAAGCCCGCTATCTCTCCGCGTCCAGCCCCCACTCACCTGCCTTCCTAAGGACTCCGGGCAGCTGCTCCCACCACCACTGTCTCGGGCTCTGGCCTTCCGGGGCCCACGTCGGGGCGGGGGAGCTCACCCGGAAGCAGCTCCTCCACGGCCCGCCCCCTCCACCGTGCAGGCCACGCCCCCCGAAGGCTCGCTTCAGGGGCCTCCTCCGCTCCAGCCGCGGCCCCGCCCACACGCGCCGAGGTCTGGCCAATCGGGTGAGTCGAGGGCCTGGCGGGCCCGCCCCTCCCCGCTCCGGGGGCCAGCGCTTGTGCTCAGAACCTCTGGAGGGAGCACACAAGAGGCCGCGGGAACCGCGTGGGAGGCTCCCTGGACGTGAGCTGGCCTCGAAGGCGGTTACAACCCGTGGTTCATTTCACAGCCCTCCTCTTCCCAGCCTGGGGCAAACTTGGCGCTGCTTAATGGTTTGGTGAAAGAATAATTGGATGTCAAAGCCATTAGAACAGCACCATTATGCCTAACACAATATTAGCGAAGTCCATTTTTGCGGACTAAGCCTTTTAAAGTTGTTGCGTTCAGCTCCAGACTTCTAAGTTTTCAGAGAACATTTGTTCCAGCGTAATTAATTTCTCAGGGACGACAGTGCTATGTATGAGTTGAGAGATGTGATGTGAATGACATGGGCATTTAGGAAAACTCCAAGTCTGATAGGGGCATCAGACCTATGATGGGTACAGTGAAAGATCGGACCAAAGGTCTGTAGGGGAGTTGGAGCAGAGGATGTGCGGGGGCAGGAGGGATCTGATGAGGCTTATGGGACCTGGGTAAACTAGGAATCGGATGGGTAAAGTAGCGATCAGGGATCATCGCCCTAGTGAAGGAATGCCTTTGACATGGTTCTTCAGGGATTATTGAAAAATTGACTTTGAAATGTAGAGGACACTAGTGGGTTACATTGAACTTATTCTCAGATTTTATTTCTCGGCCGGGTGCAGTGGCTCACGCCTGTTATACCAGCACTTTGGGAAGCAGAGGTGGGCAGATCTCTTGAGGTCTGGAGTTCGAGACCAGCCTGACCAACATGGTGAAACCCCGTCTTTACTGAAAATATAAAAAATTAGCCGGGCGTGGTGGTGGGCTCCTGTAATTCCCACTACTCGGGATGCTGAGGCAGGAGAATCCCTTGAACCGGGGAGGTGGAGGTTGTAATGGGCTGAGATCATGCCACCACACTCCAGCCTGGGTGACAGAGCAAGACTCTATCTTAAAAACAAACAAAAAGATTTTTAAATATTTATTTTTGTTTTTATTTCCCAAAAGCATTGTTTCTATTTACATAGAGTCCTAACCACTTCGACAGTAGGAGGAGCGGGAAAGGCTACTTTTTCAATCCAGGGACCTCCATAATGTTAGTTTGTTGTTACCAAACAGACAGGTTTAAGTGGCATCATGGATCTGGTAAACTAAGGATGGTGTTTAGTCTCTCTCTGCTGGAGAAACAAGGTGAGCGTCAATCTCTGCTTCTGTAAGAATCCTGAATTTAGGATTTTCAACTGTCACTACTCCGACTTCTATTTCTGAAGCTTTGAAATTGATAGAACAGTAGACAGGCATGTAATTGCAGTTTCCACTGTCTGTTC